GAGTATTTGTTGGTTAGGTATTTGCTTGCTGAACATAGCTGGGTTAAACCCAGCCCAATTAAGTTGGTTATGGGAGCGTGTCTACTTCCCCCTGACTCACCATTCCTGTCTCCTGTTACAGGAGGTTGCTGTAGCTTGGAGACCTCCAGGAGATGCTGGGCAGCTTGTACCTAGAGAACTGGCCATTCTCACTCTTGTCTTCTCAAGTAGCCTCCAGCACTAGATAAGATGTAAATTTACCGCAGTCTTTGGAAATGTTTCAAGAGTTTTAGCCCTTCTGGTGTGCTCAGCATCTCTCTTCCACTGAGAAAAAATCTTGCTCTCAGTGCTACCTGTAGCATCAGTAATTGCTTACAGGCTACCAGGTCATCTTTCAAAAAGACGTTCACAATCCTTTCATCTCTGTCCTCTCTAGCAGGAAGTCAGATGTGGTTTCCCAATCTTAAAATCTCCTCTTCAGTCAACTTCCTTACCAAACTTTGCCCCACGGCATCCTCCAAAAATGTGGCACAGAGGTCAAGCTTTTTGCTTTTCTGTCAGGATCCTTCCTTCCACCCCTGCTCTCGGCAGGGCATGGGAAGAATGCTCGTTAAATGTTGAAGCATATAATTTTTTACTTGTGATGAAAACCAGTGATGAGTACCCTGCAGAGAGTAAACGAAAATCCTTTCTTGTGTGGGAAGACCTAAATTAAGAAATAACGTTTCAGTGATTTTCCAGGATGCTTGACTAAATCATGTAGAAACAGATTATTTATTTCTACTGTACAATCACAAGATCAATCTGTAACCAAATAAAATTCTGCTGTCTGATCTGATAAAAGTGGATGGTGACATTCATACCAAAACCCTGAGACAGTATTGAAGTTTTTCTGTACCTTTATCATATCATTCATGAGCATTAATGACTGTATTAGTGAGTCACACTTATTCACTATCTTTTACTTGTGTCTTTGATTTTAAAGAGAATTGGTCAACTGAATATAAACAGAGTCCCTTTGTGATTGTCTTATAATCGTGAGGACTTGCTGTGGTGGTAGTATTCATACTGTGTTGTAATTTACTCATCTTTGGAGTTCTGTCTGTGCGCTAACCTCATGCTCAGCATGGAGCAGGGAAACCTCATTATTCATGTGTTTCATCCTGCACAACTGTGAGGTAGCAGTAAGCGGTGTTACTGGATTAACACTGGGAAGTAAGGCACTTCCAGTAATAACCTGTGTGTGCGTCAACTTCTTTTTGGGGAAGGGCGCTGTTTATTGGTGGTCATTCTAGTTGCTTTCCTTATCCTTTTTAGTGAAAATGGGCTAAGATCAAAAAAGTCTGGTTTTAAACCGGACAACACCTGTCCTGTAATGGCTTGTTACTGTTGGTGTCTGAAACAGTGCCTAGCAATTAGTCCTGTGCTGACAAAATAGTGCAGCTTGAGTACAAGTGAGATTCAGAAGATGAACAGAAAGCTGTTCTGTGTGGTCATGCTAAACGGTGGTCTGTTCAAGATGCTGTGTTTGTTTTTCCACTGTGTATCGCACCAGGCTCTGCTTGCTCATGGCTTTTTTCTCTTTTAGAGATCAATTTTTTTTCCCTGAACTCAAGTCTTTTGTGTCTGTGTTTTTGATAGAGCTGCTAATTACGTGATTGCATATTTGTCTGTTTGCATGATCCTTGCCTCATTCAACATGGAGGACAGATGACACTTGGGAAGTCATTGCGCAGTACTCAAAGAGGCTGTTGTTTGTAGGATCCCAAACATGTTTCCTGCAGATGTTAAAATAAATGAGGCGGGGGGTTGTAGGAGCAGCGAGGATGATCTCATGTCTAAGGCAGATGAACAGCAGAGTAATGATCTGGGGAGCTGGATCCCTGCCTCCAGGACAAGCCTTTCAACTTGGCCTGTCCAGCCCTCCCCTCCTGCAGGCAGCAGCCACCTCTTCTGCTTGGTGGATCTTCCCAAAACGAGCGTGGTAACCTGCTGGAAGTTTTGCTGTGCACTTACGGAAAGGGCACGTTTTCAGTTTTATTGACTTACAAATTTTTCAGCATCACAGTGACTGGGTATTCCTCATTGCTCCCTTTTCCTCTTTCTTGTGCAGCCCATACAGAAGGGCTTGTTTATCAAGATTCCAGTGTCCTTCTTTAACTGGGACATCAGCCAAAATAACCTCGACTGTTGCAAATCAACTATATGGTATTTTTGCAAATGGTTCTCTCCCATCTGCCTGCTTATAGTATTGCTGAACTTGGCTGAAATAATTGTAATGAAAATCAGTCCTTGCAGTTGTGATCACAGTAGGGTGAAATAATGTTACAATAGGGCATTTTTGTGTTAGGGAGCTTCCTTTAAGTACGAGAAGCTGTTTTGCTCTCTGTAATGAAGGTGACTTGTTCCTGATAACCTGACACTGAGCTGCTTTGAATCAAAACTGTGAGTTTAAGGCACGGTTAAGTTTCTCTTCAGACTTCCTTAGACTGCAATTAGCAAGTTAAGTTAATAAAGCCAGGGTAGTTTTTAGCCTCCAGCTCTTGCTGGAGCTGAAAGGATCAAAGAATGTATGCAATGTATTCTAATTACTAAAAGTTTTATGGAAAAGCATACACATAGTTGCTTCAGAGTGACTCTTCGGAGAATGACATAAGTCATCATTCTTCAGGGCTTATGCTGTCCGTTAGAAATGGAAGATAAGGCAACTTTTCCTTGAGACCAATCCACCCATGTGGTGCTTTGTTCTTTTCATTCCCAGCCTGCCCACCTGTGGATCCCTGCAGGCTGCTGACTGCTCAGGGCCGAGCCACTGCTCTGCTGGAACTGCCTCTGCAGCTGTACAGAGGGCACTGTTGCTGCTGGTTTATCACTTATGGAAAGCAGAGAAGCCACCCTGGGCTATTAGCACCCAGATCTGCATTGAGGAGGCTGAGCAGAGCTGAGTGAGGCAGGACGCTGCCTGCCATGCCTGAACCTTTCAGTCTGAATTTCGCAGCTCAGTGTGAGCGCAGAAGGTGGCCTTGTGCATCACTGTGTGAGGGGAGGGGCTTTATCTCTGTGCCTTGTCTGTGTGAGCATGTTTGTGTGCAGGTAACCTACAGAGACCAAGAATGGGTTGTTACAATAAAAAGGCAATTAATGAAACAGTGGGTTTTTTTTATTACTTACTTGAGTTGTAGTGCATGGAGCTTTAACAGTTGTTTTATTCTTTTGTTTATCTGTAGATCTGACAGAAGCACTTGGATGTCTGGAATTCAAGATACTTTTTTTTATGCTCTTACGCTGAAGTAGAACAAATAAGTGCAAGAAATTTCTCTAGTTCAGGCAAGTAGGTATACCCCTACTGCACATATGAAATTAAGATTTTGCTTAACAAATGTATTGTGGGAACCGTTTTTAAAATGAAGGAACTCATTTGTTCTGGTACAACATACAATTTAAAAGGAACATAAGGATTTTAATATTTGACTTTCATTTTTTGTTATTTAATAGTTACGGGTCATACTGAATCCTGCTTTGAATAACTGAGAAGCCTCTTCAGTGTGGAACTGTACAAGACATTTGGCAGCTGTCTTGAATAAAAATTGAGACAGAAATGTCCTTCATAGATCCTTATCAACACATTGTGGTAAGTAGCTATGAATCTTCTATGTGATTTCTTGTATACTGTCTTGTGCTATGTATTCTGTAACAAGTTATTCTGAAGATACACACTGCACTAGAAGTAGCTTAAGTTTGTTTAAGCAATGTTAAGTGTGACTAGAGCAAATTTATGAAGGATCTTGTTTGAATGAAATATGAGAGACAGCCAGCTTCTCGAAAGCAGTCAGTGACTTGGAGAGTGATTTCATGTAGAAGTTGCAACAGAGTGCAGGGTCCTACCTTAACTGATGGGTGTGATGTCACTATGGTGGTGTTCTGAGGGAACTGTCTGTTGGGATTGTTTCATCAAAATGCTTATATTTGTCTGGTTTTTCATAACTAATTGTCAGTCAGAACTGTTTCCCACAGGAGTAACATTGTGTTATTATCTTTCTCCTTTCCAATACAATTTTTTATAATATTCTATGAACTGAGTAACGTTTTCCCATGAAAGTGGGTAGAGAGATGAATTGGCAGTTTTGGATGCACAGGTCCTAAAGCAATGTCCATCAGTGATGTTTGTTCAGAGTCTCTAAAGTATATAGCCTGTAGGCTCCAGGTAAGGATCAGTGAGATGACCTGTGCCACTCAACAACACATCGATGCCACTGTGCTCCCTTCTTCCCACAGCCTCCCAGTCTTCTCCCTGCACCCACCGTAGCAGGTCAGAGGCACAGCTAGTCCTGATCTTGCTGAAGTGGGAGAAAATCAGTGCAAAAGCTCAGCTGTGTGTTGTCAGAGCCGACCTAAGGGAAGCACAGAACCACACGAGCATGGGCTGTGTCAGTGGAGAAGTAGGAGCTAGGGGCTGAAATGGGAAACGGGAGCAGCACTGCCTGCTGAGTGCTGGAAGGCAGCAGGACGGCTCAGCTGCTGGCCGGACTTTTGGCTGTAATGTGCTCTTGTGTGTCACTGCTCGAATGACTTTCCAGGTTAAATATTTCCATTCCTATCCCAACCAAAATCTTGGAACAAGTGAGTCTGTTCTTATCAGCCATTTTTCATAACAATCTCATGGCAGGAAAGTAGATACACACTTAAAGATAGTTCATACACTTGTAATAAAGTTGAACTTTTTACATTACTAAAAATGTAGTGTGTGCTTCCTTGAAAAGATCTCTTATCAGTTTTGTGGTTTCCACCCCACACAGTCACATCCTTTATATGAGTTAGCAGCCAGCAGATGTGAAACTCATGCTCTGCTTGATCCGTAGCTCTGTGAAGACCACTGTAAAGAGAGGCTTCAGGGTCATTGATGCCTGTATTTAACAGCATTTAAAACAACACATGAATTTATTCCTTTCTGTGTCAGTGCCCTCTCCTGGATAGAATGCTTTCTCTGCTCTGCACCTCTGTGGAAGCAGTCTGAGGCATTCCCATCGTTCACTTAAAAGATCTCTTTTGACACTATAGTGAGGAAAACTCAGCTTTAGAAGTATAAGTAATTTTAATCCTCTAGCAGTGCTGAATTCTAATTAAGAGTGTTGTTACAGGAACACTGTTAATGCAAGAAACTTTCTTCTTTTTTCTTTTCACGTGAATTTAAATTGCAAGGAAAGTTGCACTAAGTTGGAACACTCAGGGCAGCAGGAAAAACCAATGTGTTTTTAATAACAGTTGACATTCGAAGACTCAGAAATCAGCATTTTCCAAAAGTCCTGCTAAATACTGTGTGTTTTTTGCTCTCTTTGTCTTTTCCCTTCCCTGTGTTATGAAAGCTGAGAGAATGAAAGGAGGCATTTGCAAAGTCACCGTAGGTACTGGTAGATCTGACTGCACCAAAAGTACTGTCAGATAAATAAATAGCTGTGACTTAATGCACGTTGTTAAATTGTTATTGGGGTTAAATATTAAAATAATGGGTAAAGTTATTTCAAGACTTGCATGCAGAACTATCTGCCTTAATTTGTAGCATCTGTGTGAGAGTGTGGTCTTCATGGATATCCGTTATTTAAGAAAATAGGCAAACATTTTCCTTTGTCTGACTCAATTGACAGCTCAGGTGTCCTGCATAAAGTTGAGGAAGTAAAAGCAGTAACTCTTTATTACACAATGTATACCAGACTTTCCTGGTTTGTATTTTGTGTGTATCTCCAGATTGAGTTACACTTTGTGACTCAGCATTCTAGGGCATGAAAAATACTGTATTCAATGCATGCAAATTCCATGCTTTCTTTGTAAGTGTGGGAAGTTCATAGGCAAAACCTGGCTGTCTTACAGCAGATTTTTAGAGCATCGTCTGTGATGGGGAAGTAATGATTTTACGCAAATACATAACAATGGGTAAAAATAAAGTGAGTTAGATAACAAGTGAAAGTTTATGGGGAGGATAGAACAGCTAAAGTGGAAAAGGAAGGAAGAAGGCAGAAGGGGGGTTTAAAAAAACCAAACAGTTTGGGAGTTGTGTGAGGGCAGGAGATATTGAACAGTGGATCTTCCAAGTAGCATACTTGGAAGACCTTGTGCTTGTATCTCGGGGGGGGAGGGATCAACCCCCCCCGATCAAACATGGGAGTGTTTCATTCAGAAAACCCATCTCCGGAGAAGGCAAATTGAAGGTTATTTTTATTTTAACTTCTTCCTTCTTCCTATTTATAGAGAAAGAGGAAATAAAATGAAACAAATGCTTAAAGCCAGGCCTCATTAGGAGAGAGTATTTAGGCTTTTAAGTTATGTGATCTTCTGAAATTTTAACCCGACTTGTGTTTCTAAAGGTATGCAGATATTGCTCCACTCAGTGTTGCAATGTTTAAGTGATTTACGTGCAGTCTTGTTTTTTTTCAGAAGTAATTGAGAGGTTGGCAATGTACAGATTTTTATCAAGAATTAAGATGAACATAAATCACTTGAAAATGAAGCTTTGTCATCTAAATTATTAAGGGCTGGATTTACAAAGGTATTCAGAGTCAATACGTTGTATTTTCAGGGCTTCTCGCTTCTGTATAAGTTAGCCTTTCCAAAAGACAACAAAGAAGTGATCCCCAAACATGTGCTAGCTGTTAATTTTGGATATTTATAACTCTTAGAAACAAAATCCAAAATGGAAAAATGCCTTTACTTCTGGTTGCACTGAGTTGCATTGAAAACATTTTGGGATAAGAAAGGAGCTGGACTTTCAAGCTTCCTGTGTTTCTATGTACATTTTTTTTCTAAGAGGGCGATAGTTCATTTTAGTACTGTGTTGTTGCAAAACTCTCCTAAGCATGTGATTACAGCCAAATAATAATAACTTTATAATTGTAAACCTCGCTGTGTTATTTTGGGTGAGGTATGGGGAAAGAAGATAACGCTTTTGTGTTGTTTTGCCACTGTTATGTGTGCATTCATTTTGGAGGGTACCAAAAGTTATTCCACACACAGTTAACAGTTTGGAGCCCGATCTGGTGAGGGCAGCCAGCCCATGGCAGGGGCTGAGGCTGAAAGGCCCCTTCCAACACAGCCACTCTGTGATTTGACAGTGGGCAGTTTATTGATGCATACGAGTTTGATAAATAGGGCCAAGGTACAGGCAGGCTGCCTTCCAGTGATACTGTCTCTAAGGGAGCACCTTTGCAGCACTGTAGGACACCAGAACTGCACTTGAGCTGCACATGGCAGCTGAAAACTAAATCCAGCCCTCCAATGTCTTGTACCTGTAACTTAATGACAGCTCGATCCTCTCTTTGTTGCTAAATGCTCAGTGATCTCTGGTTCAAGGTCTCAAGTGAGGACAGGATCTTTTTTAACAGTTAGAACAAGGGGAAGGGCGGTGTGTTTGCACTTTGGACATTTCTTTTTAATTATAAGGTTGTGTATAACAAAGCAACGACACCAGTTTGTGTGAGCAAACACTGGGCCAGCACTGTGTTGTGAAACCTTCAGCAGTCTGACATGCATGTGGACGTGGTGCACACCAATAAAACAGCCCTGAGCACTTGTAAAGTGAACTGGAAACAGGGTGATGAGAGAAGCTGTCTTCTGGAGATTCAGAGCATCTGAAAATTCACAAAACCACATAAATGACACAGATGGGGAAGCCCCACATAGCTCACAGCAGTCTCGGCTACCCACCAACCCCCTTCTCTCCTGTGGCGGAAAGTGTGTTCAGGCAGAGGTTCCATCCTCCTTCCCATTCAAGCAGCTCATGCAAGTTGCAGTGCAGAAGGTGGATATTATGAAGTTACTGAGCTGTCTGCATGTAAGTTTTTTGTGTTTTTTTTTTGGCTCTTCAGCTTATTCCTTTAAAAAAAAGATGTGTTTTTATTTATTTATTTATTTTAATGTGTCCAGAAGAAAACATACCAGGAAAGCACCAGACACAGCTTGAATGGGCACGTCCCACATCAGAGGTAATGTCTGTCATGTTAAAAAAGCTTTAAGGAGTCTCCTGATTTCAGTAGTTGCTCTTTTACTTCTGATTGGAAACTTTTGCAAGATAATCTGGTTAGTTGCTCTGATTTTAATGATTCAGAAGCAGTGTTTATCTAACTATATTTCACAAAGCTGGTGGGCATTGAAGAAGAGATAACAAGAATACCCCAAGTGGCGACCCAGGGCACAGGTGTGTCAGTGTGGTTTCAGGAGAGCACCTGGGACCCCAGGGGGTGTGTAGGGCCTCGTGCAGCCTTTGTGCCTGGGGCTGCAGGGCCCAGCAGTTCGGACTCAGTGCTGTCTGCATGGAAGAGCTTGGGGCCGAGGACGTACCTGGATTTCTTGCCAGGAGGCTGAGCTTGTACTACGTGAACCAATGCTGCGTAGGCAGTCAGAAAGCCCAGGTGAGGCTGGGCACCAAGCAGGCAGTGTAGGTGTAGTACTGGGAGCAGTTGCCTGGCTGCAGGGCTGGGTGCTCGCAGCTTCCGTGCCCTTGAGCCCTTCCTGTGTAAGGAAGGCCTTGGCACCTGCTGGCAGTGCCAGGATGGTTCTCAGTGGCATTCAGTGGGTTGGTCAAACATGGTGTGACTATGTAGATGATGAGAAGAGCTCATGTCTGCTTCTACTTTGAGGTTTTTACTTTTGTTTCTTAATTTCACGTCCTTTTCTACTTCCCTATTTCATTTGGGACAATTGTTCCGGCTGCTTTAGAAGGGCAGCTCCTGCTGTTGCTTGGTCTTTGCAGGAAACAGGAAGCTCCAAAAACTGTCTGCAGTTTACTTGTGGGCATTGTAACAGCTTGCTTTTCACATTTTCTCCACTGTGTTGGGGATACTTGTGCTTTAAGTGTTGATGTGTACTAAAGCTATACCATGTTTTACTGATTTTTTTTTTAATCCTTTTTTTTGCACCCATTTTTTCTGGAGGAAAGTAATTGTAAAATGAGCATATGGTAAAATAGTACCCCCCACTATCTTTTTTTATCATACTGGGTTGGTTGACTGACTAAATGCCTTAAAGCAGATTCTGTAGAGGAGGAGTATTATTCACTGAGATCAGTAGGTGTGGCTGCAGGAAAATCAAGCAACCCCAGTATAAGGTCTGACCTTTCAGTAAAGCTACGGGGTGCAGTTCAGCTTTATGATGCTCTATCCAGTATGCATTTCTATTTATTTATTTATTTATTTATTTAACATTTTGACTTGGAGATTTCTTTCTTTCAGTTCTCAGATGAAGTGAAAGGTGTTTCTAACAGCCGCTTTTTGGTTCTGGACTTTAATCACATTTAACTCTCCGACTTCTAGGTGGAACACCAGTACTCACACATATTCACTGTGACAGTAAGGAAAGCCACAAATGTCACAAAAGGAGCCATTGGTGACATGCGTGAGTATCTCTCTTTCTGTTTTGCTTCTTTTTTCTAGGAGACCGTTCCATAGGCAGGGGGGAGAGGGAGTGCCTCAACACACTTGTCGTGCAATAAAAGGTTGATTGTGTTTTGTCTTTTCTGTCTGCTTTGTTGAAGTGAAAGCTGTGTACCCATTTTGTTGCTCGCTCATTTCAAATTAGAAAGCAGATTTGCCGGTCCTTCTTTCTGTTGATCCAGAGAAGATGAGTGAGTTATAAACAATTTGCCTACGAGCAAACATACCTATGTTTAGTTTTTTTGGCTTAGTAAGAAGTGCTGTTCTGAGGATAGTGAATCTGGCTCTTGTATCTTCAAAAGGCTGTGGTTTGGTGTTACTAACAGTTGAGAAGAAAGAAGCCTAGAGCTCTGCTGAGTGAACACAATAGAAAAAGAAAGGAGGGAGAGAATAAGCAGATCTCACATTGGAGTGCTACATAAGGCACCACTGCTTCTTCCCCTTTCTGTTACACTTCTGAGTCTCCAGGTTTAGCAGCTGAACAGGAAGCCACCAGGAAAGACCCATGAAAACTCTTGCCTGTTCTTAAGGAGGAAAGTAGAGAATACTACACTGGCTCAGTCTGTAAGGAGAGTATTCCTGCTTCCTTTATTATGAGTGTTTGGCTCTCAGGTTGTCACTCTTTTCTCCGGCACTTCTTCCCTTACTTAGCCTGGAACTGCATCTGAGGAGGAGGAGGAGCATGGTAGTACCTTGCTTTTCCTCTTTGGTCAGGCTTGTTTGAGAGGCAGTTATTTCTTTCCCAGCGCATTCTTGGAAGCTGGTTTCAGGTCAGACTACAGCAGCTGCTCTCATACACAGATTTGCTTTGGCAAGTGAATGATTCTTCTATACTTAGTTGCCAGCACTGATATTAAACATGGCAGGTAGGTGGGGAGTGATGGCAGGGAGCCTTGGCAGGGGAAGACTTGGGAATCTGGTATCTGCTATGGGGTCTTCACATAAAACAAAACAAAAAACATGGGAGAAGTGCTGTAAAGAACTAGAACAACGGCCTCACAAATTTATGTGTAGGAGAAGATGGATTCAGTGGAAGGACACAGGATCTTGGCACAAGAGAGTGGGAAGATGGGGAGGGAAGAAAGGATGGGAGGCTTGAAGTATAGGTAGTATGAAAGAGAGTATGAAAAATATTAAAAAGAAAGCCAGAAGATCACCAGAACAGGTATGGTCCTAAGGTGTAAACTCCAGATATTATCCATCAATAATGTTTTTCCATCCAGTAAGTCTTACTGGAAAACTTACTGAATTATTGAAATTGAATGGTTACTCAGAAAAAAACTTGGATACAACCCGGCAGAACTATCTCAGGGGCTACTGAAACCTGCCTGGTTTCCTGTCTGAGGCAGTGCCAACACTCCGTAGCCTGGTGCATCTCAGAGAACTTTCATGTTCCCAGGGCTTGTTCTTGGAGTCCTGGCAAATCCCCCAAAGTGAAATAAAAACCAGCGAAAGGCATGTGATTGCTTCTATTTTGGAAATGTTTCTATTTCCCATGTATATACAAATCCTGGTGTATTGGAGCCTGGAAGCTATTTGATCAAATCTGTAACCTTGTGCATCTTTATTTGGTATCAGCAAGCTGTGAGTAGTGCAGATCCTTCACAGTTGATTGTGGCAGCCAGTATTTTTTTCATTTGGTTTGTTGAAAATAACTCGTTGAAGGAATTTCTGAACATTTATATCAGGTTTCTGATCTCAAATATAGGATTTGATAGCAGAGAGAATGTCTGTGTTATGTAACATAAGGTAAGTATATAAGGTATTAGTATAAGGTATTTGTATAACTTCAGAGAGTTAACTTGTAGTGGTGATGGAGATTCTGGGGAAGATCAGTGGTGTGCTTTTGTTCCTTTTCCCATATCACAAGTGAATGTCTCAGATGCTAAGAGTATCCTGCTAGAAAATTATCAATTCATTTATATTTATGTTTCTCAGGCTGTAATCTGGAACTCTCTCTTCTTCGGAAAGGGCTTCTTAAACGCTGATATCTTCAGGATTTCAAGCATTGGGTTCTGAAGGGGTTCTCATCTCCTGGCTTAGAGGGCATGGGTGGCCAACAGCTTTTCATCGCTTTGTATTTTGAAACGCTGTTGTTCTTTGCAGCCACATGATTCATTTTACATCTTTGCCATATTTTATGAGACTGATAGCTTTCTGGAACAGTGTTGAAGGATCTGGGTAGACTGAAGTTTATTGTGGAGGAACTTCCTACTTTGCTGTATTGCTACCATAAGTATCTGAGGTCTGCCTCTGCCCAAGAAGCCTTGTGTGGTGTATATGGAGTTCTGACTGTGCTTGGGCATCACGAGTGTATGGCGTACTATCTACTCCTCTATCCTTCCAGGCCTAGGCTGGAGAGATGTGCAGAATTTTCAAGATGTCCCGAACTCTTCATTCATGAAGAATATAAATGGATGTGTCATCCTTAAAAGTCAATAATGGATGTATATTGCAACTTCCACAGGCTATGTTTCCTTATGTGAACAGTTCATACACAGCATTGCTGACTCAGGGTATATACTTTGTTTCCTGGCTGACTGGAGCAACAGAGAAAACTGGTGCTAGGATAGCTTCAGGCCCTCTTTTTTGTTTTTCTCACTAAGATTCTCTGTAAGCTTTAAAATCTTTATAGAGTGATCTGACAAATACTGGCAATCAGATCTGAATCTGGATCATACCAGCATACAGCTCTTTCAGCCTGGAGGTGTTCCATCCCTTGGATCATTTTTGTGTCCTTCCTCTGGATGCCCTCCAATAGGTCCATGTGTCTCCTGTACTGAGGACTCTACATCTGGATGCAGTGCTCCAAGTGAGGTCTCAAAGCGCAGAGCAGAGGGGCAGATCCTCTCCCTCTACCTGCTGGCCGCTCTGCTTTTGATGCAGACCAGGGTATGGTTAGCCTTCTTTGAGGGCACGTTGCTGGCACAAGTTCAGCTGCCATCTAGCAGTACCCCCAGGACCTTGTTGGCAAGGTTATGCTCAGTCATTGCATCCCTTAACTTGTACCTAAGTAGGGGTTGCCATCACCGAGCTGCAGTACCTTGCATTTGGCTTTCTTGAACCTCATGAGGTTCTTCTGCGCCCACTGCTCAGGCTGCCTAGGCCTCTTTGGATAGCATCCTGTCCCTTGGGTGTATCATCTGCAGCCCATGGCTTGGTGTCATATGCAAACTTGCTGAGGGTGCACTCAATCCCACTGTTGATGTCACTGATGAAGATATTAAAGGACAGTGATCCCTGTATTGATTCCAGATGCATGTTTCCTGGTGAAACATCATAGTGGGATTCCTGGAAGTCTCTTCATGGAGCTGAAGATACCACTTTTTCTACATTTTGAGCTTTTCTTTTTTAGGAATGGGTCTCCCTCCTTGTCTTGTTAGTCCTCCATAGAAGCTTGATTTCTTCCTGCTTTCTTCTCTTCTTGTGGTTTTATTGAGGCATGAGGTTTATGTAACCAACCTCAGCCTGCACTCATCTGTGGTCCTGCCGGGTTTGGGCAGCTCCAGGCTCTTGAAGTCTCACTGACAGCATTTGTCAGAATCAGAAAGCCAGCCTCTCTCACTCAGAGGTTCTGAGGCTGTGCTTCAGCATCACAGTGCAAGGAGCTCTGTAGCCACTGGTAAAAGACCGAAACCTCTAAGGCCCTGTGATACCAAGCACAGATCCAGTATAAACTTGTTCTGAGGATTCAGAAAATGTTGACAGTTTCAGTTAGCATTAGCAGACTTTATGCCAGACTAGACCTAAGCTATACTTATCAACATGTAGAAGTTACACTGTGGGCTTGAGTAATATACCAGGAATGTGATGATATACCTAAGCCTACACCAGCCCCAGTTGTCGCTGCGCAGAAGAGGCATCAGCGTGGACCCACAGCTGCATGGGGCATATGGCAGTGACAGAGGGAAAGGGTTCATAGATGTGGCACTAACAGTGCTTGTAAGAGCTAAGCTTTTCAATTGAAGAAGGAAAAAACAAACAATACCTTGAATTCTGCTGTACCACCAGAAAAATGGGTTTTTCTCTGGGCCATTACAAACTGATGTTTTCGTTGTTTTTCCCTGCTGTCTCTACAAAGGCAGCTGGAGAGAGAACCTAGAGGGGGGAATTTTTTCTCTTGGCAGTTTGATGGATCTGTTGTGAAACTATTAAAGGGTTCAGGTGGCAATGTTATTTTACTTTTTTTGTCAAACCTGTGTCAGGAAAGCTGGTGGTGGTGTCCCTTCTACCAGTGAAACAGATAGTAATGCACTCCCTGAGCTGGGAGCACAGTCCTTTCCTTCACCTAAAGAGTGCCAGAGCTGAAAAGCATTGTAATACAAGGCAGTAATAATCTCTAACAAATCAGTTGCTCAATGACAGAATTTCTCAGAGCAAAGCTGCTGTTTTGGGAGCAGTGTCGCCTCACTTGCAGTCACCTTCCACAAATGGAATCCAGTCCTGCATCATCCTCTTTTCAACATCTGTCTGATAAGGCCAGAAACCTGGGCAGTGCTTATATAGTACCTGGAACACATGTAGCAAATAACCTCATGCCTCCTGCTTGTGGCCCCTTGCTGGCAGTCCATTAATTTGTTCGAAGGCTCTCAGAAGCAATTGCTCCAAATTAATGGGAAGATTGAAGATGTAGTAATTAGACTGCATTAGTACCTGTTGTGAATACTCTTTCAGAATTGGCGTTAAATTGAATAAATAATTGAAGTTAAATTGATTTATGAGATGGCCTACATAGGAATTTAATTAAACTTAGCTAATGTGCTTTGCAGGTTAATTGTATTTATTTTATTAGTTCAAATCAGCTAATTTAAAAAAGCTAAAATAGCTGAAACAGTCTCATCTGAAGTATGGGTGACACAGGGGGTTGGAGGCCACCACTGCTAACCTGGGAGGAGTGCACTAAGCCACGGTCCTCTTGATAAGTGGGAATTCAGAACAAACTTGGGAAGACAGATCCTGGCC